TGTGACTATTGCTACCTAAGTGTCAGAGAGAAGGATTTGTAATAGGAATGATTCTGTGCATTTGCATGTAGGTAGTAACACATACTTGTTTGCCACCTCACTTATTTCAAGAGTTGTAAATGAGGTTAACACATGAAAAGCATTCAGAACCAAGTGCTCAATAAGGATTAACTGCAGTTGCTGTTATTGTCACTGGTTTTTAAGAGTTTGTAATTCCTCAAAGGGACTGGTTTTTGTTTGTTTCTTTATGTATAATCATTGTGGTAAATGTGTATGTATCCAGACATTTGCCTTTTCATGATAATCTTCACATGTACAAATCAGTGACATTAATTAAGTTCATCATGTTTTCTACCATTCATTCCTAGAGGTTTTCTGTCACCCTTAAGAAAAGTTCAGTGTCTCAAAGGGAAGGGATTCTTGATATAGTCTGCTCCACAAAGTCATGTAATTGGTTCATGATGGAACCACACCTTTTCTCTGATCCAGCTTCTCTAAGCCCTGATAGTTTTATTCAGAAAGCCAAATCTTCTTCTCCCATAACCCTTGAAGTTATTGGAAGAATAATAGTTTAGCTTAGTTTGTAAACTTCATGTTGGTTTTATCCATTAAAATAAGTTCTGTAGTGGATTTTCCTTGGGTGACATGAACACTTCACCTTTAATTCAGTGATGCAAGCTAAATTGTGATCTGAGTTGTTTTATAAAGACAGTTGAATTTGAAACTCTAGGCTGTAATCTTTCCATAAAATTCTTAGCAGAAAATCATATTTAAATTTGTGACTTCTTCTCCACATTTCCCCCTTCCTTTGTGGGGACCAGATATGACTAATGTTTAATGAATGTATTAACTACACTTCTTCCAAACTTTGTTTACTATCCTAGAACCTCCAGTGCTTGAAGGTATCTATTTTTCTGCATGCATAGTCAAGTTAAATTCACAGTTTCCCTACTTTAAAAAACAGTTGTGTTGGAAATAAAATGTCTAGACAGACTTTGAAAGTATGAAAAACTGCTGCTTTTGCCTCAGGTATTTTTGCATGAAAACTGATACTTTCATGAATATTTGATTTTTAAAAACTTGGACAAGATGATTGCTATTTCAGTTAGTGTTCTAGTCCTTACGAAAGGGATGCAATTTTTGTTTGTAGAGAAAGTATAACTTTTTCCCCCTCAGTGAAAATGAATTTTTAGGAGTCTAATGTATACTTGTGTTTAAAGCTCTTGATAGAATTCAAAGATAGTATTCCAAAGCTGGTTCCTTTGCATGCATCTTTGTTGTTGTTCCCTTCAGTCTGCAAAAAGATTTCAAAACCAAAATCCAAATCAGTTGTGATTGACTCAGTTCCAACTCATCAGGACTCCACATGTGGTTTGTAGTGGCCAGTTCTCTGGAAGTAGATTACGAGCCTTTCTCTCAAGGTGCCTTTGGGTATGCCGAAAACTCCATCCTTTCAATTATCAGCAAGCGTGTTAACCTTTTACACCACCCAAGGGCTCTTCTAAATGTCTTATGCATTCATTATCCCATTCCTGCAAATGTGTTCTGTCATCAGGATTGGAGGAAGACTCTTTAGCAGATGATACAACCTTGCTTACTGAAAGTGAAGAGGGCTTCAAATACTTATTGATGAAGATCAGATACTACAGCCTTTGGTATTATTTACACCAAGAAGACAAAAATCCTCACCTTTCCGATAAATGGAGAAAAAATTGAAGTTGTCGAAGACTTTTTTTTTTTTTTCTTAGACCAACCATCAGCAACTTACTGTATTAGGCAAATCTGGTATGCAAGACCTCTTAAAAGTGATGAAGAGCAAAGATGTCAGTTTGAGGATTAAGGTATACCTGACCCAAGCCATCGTATTTTCAGTAATGTGAAAGCTGGACAGTGAATAAGGAAGACCCTAGAAGACTGATGCATTTGAGTTATGGTGTTGGAGGGGAATATTAAAGGTACCATGGACTGTCAATACAACAAACCAACCTGTGTGGGAAGAAGTACAGCCAGAGTGCTCCTCGGAAGCCAGGATGGCCAGACTTCCTCTCTCATATGTTGGACATACTGTCAAGAGGGACCAGTCACTGGCGAAGTTTGGCAAAGTGAAGGGTCAGAGAACTAGAGGAAGACCCCTAACTAGATGGATTGGTACAGTGGCAGCAGCAATGGGCTCAAATGTCTCAAAGTGTGAGGTTGGTGCAGGACCAGGCATTGTTTTGTTCTGTTATGTATAGGGTTACTATGAGTCAGTACCAACTCGATGGCACCTAACAACAACAATAATACAGTTAGAAGGGATGTAATCTGTGAATCTGAGCCAGGATTGGAATAATGTTGTTGTTATTAAGTGCCTTTGAGTCACTTCTGACTCTTGGTGACCCTGTATAGAGTTTCCGAGAAGCAGCTGGTGAGTTTGAAGCACTGACTTTGCAGTTTAACTGACCTTTCGGTTCACTGCTTATCCTATAGTGCCACACCAGGGTTCCTTTGGGATGATATTGCTGTATTATGTAAACATATAATCTGGCCATTCTCTGATTCCTTGGCTATAAAGTTAAAATGTCAGTAAAGGAAACTGATGAACAGGAAGTGAGATTCTAGTACTGTTTAATGTGTAACTATTACAAGAATGGAGTCTTCGTGTGGCGCTGTGGGCTAATGTGCTAGCCTGCAAAGTCAGTTTGAACCGCAAGTATGGTGGTTCACCAGCCGCTCCTTAGAAACACCATACAGGGTCGTTATGGGTCAGAACCAACTCAATGGAGTTTAACAACAACATTATAAGAATAATAATCAGTGTTTATTTGATGCACTTTATTGATAAATAGCTAACATTCATTGAGGCATTGTTATGCACCAGACACTAGGTTCTTCTTACGTTATTCAATTTAATATCTACTTTATGGAAAGGAAAATCTTGGGTTTGCAGAAATCATCTACTAGTAATTTAGACACTGTACTCTCTGACTCCCCCACCGCGTCTCTGAACCACTCCTGTCTACAGCTTCTCTACCATTCTACTTGTTAAGATTAGGCCATCTTACTTACCATTTTCAACAGGTTAACCCACACAGTGATCCCAAGATGGAGGTAGAGCACATTAGCTCCATTTTACAGAGAAGGAAGCTGTTGCATGGAAAGAATAAATGACTTCTCAGGATTTCATCCTTGGTCTGTGATAGAATTCTCTTTGTTATTCTCTTATAATGAAGGATTTTCTTGCCTGCTATTTTGGGTGTGTGTGGAATTTCTTATAATTTGCATTTGGAGTCTCTATCTATGACTCAAATTGTCTGTATCCTATGTGGACTTGTGATGACTCTGAATTCTTTAAATGACTTCCCTCTCCCTTTCCAAAATCTTAGCAAAATATCACTGTGAAACATCCTAATACAGGTTCTTCTAGCCAAGAATCTGAGGTGAGGATACCTTTAAACTGTTCAGGAGCATTAAAATCAAATCCGTGGTGGAAATGCTGGCAGCTCTTCAGAAAGATAACTCTATAGCACATTAAGAAATTGTATCTCCTAGTGTGGCTGATCAAGAACATGAGCATATTAATATCTGTGGCCAAGGAAGGGAGAAACGCATCATTTTTGTCACAGTGTCCCTGCTGAGCCCCACAAGGCTGTTTTGAATGCTTGTGTCTTTTTAAAATTATCTTAAAGATTTCAATTCATTTAGATTATTATCCTAAATAAACATCTTCCTATTGTAGTAAACACAGTTGACTATAATTTAAAAAGGCCAGTAATCTGAACCATTTGTGACATTAATGTTTAAATGGAGGTGACGAATTTTACTGCAAGAAAATGTATATTGATACCCACAGCTGGCTTGTCATCTTTCTTTTTGTCTACACAAGAAGAACAGTGTGTATATTGTGAATTTAAATGATACATACAGCTAATAAATGTGGATTGGCTTAGCAAGTGATATGCATGACTAATTCAATTTCAATGGTCCTTGTAGAAAAACAATGAACAAATACATTAAAAATTTTAAATGGCAGTGCAGTCTACAGAAATTGATGTTTATTTGGTACTTTTGAGTTGGTTTGGATTCATAGCAACGTTATGCACAACAGAGTGAATCGATGCCCGGTTCTGTGGCATCCTGACAATTGTTGTTACACTTGAGCCCATTATTGCTGCCACTGTGTCCATCCATCTCATTGGGGGTCTTCCTCTATTTACTAACTGCCCAGTATACCAGTCATAATGTCCTTCTCCAGGGACTGGTCCCTCCTGATAATAGTCTGAAGAATGAGAGACAGTGTCTGACCATACTTTTAAGGAACATTCTGGCTGTACTTCTTCCAACACAGATTTGTTTGTTCTTCTGACGGTCCATGGCACTTACAATACAGAAGCTGGTGTTTAATAAGAGCATGTTTTGCTGTAAGATGGATATTATATCATTCACTGAGCAGATAAGGACTAAACTCTGGTATAGTTTTGCACCTGATGTTGTTAGCTGCCACTGACTCAGCCCCTGACTCATGGTGATCCACTGACACAGAAGAAAAGCCAAGTCCCAGCTCATCCCCATGAGGGGGCTGTTGTGTTCCATGGGATTTGTATTGGTTGAGTACTCAAAAGTGGATCACCAGGCTTTCTTCCTCATTCAACTGATGTGTATTATTTAAAAAATAAAATGTAAATGTTTTATTTAAAAGAACTTTCATAGCATAAAATGCAATAGGTGAACAAAAGGAAACCCAAGTCCGTCAGGGACTGTGAGAGGAAAACAAGGTATGAGGTCACTTGACAAGTGACTTTGGAAGAGTGCAGGGTAGGGAGAGGTTGTGTAGCAATTGGATGGCCACAGTGAATATGGAATGTGAGGGCGGAATGGTTTTGCCTCACTTCACTGCTAGATAAAATGAGCATTTGTGTTCTGGGGGGATGCTGAAATCAAGACAACAGCATGTGAAGTACTGTAGATATCTGCTGTGTTCATGTATTTTCTGTGGTGTGTGACATTCTGTTCATTTGCAGGTGGGTAATGGGCATTCCGATGAGGCTGCCTTGATCCTTCACAGGAAGGGGTTTGATTGCCAGTTTCCGAGCAGAGACATGGGGCTGCTTTGTTCTACTTCTCAGGGGAAGGTAAGTTGAACAGTGATTTTTGCTGGTTGTAGTAATGTGCTTTGAAATCAACACTTTCAACAGATAATCCTGACAGCCAGGCAATGTTTCATTTCCTCCTCACTGGCTAATTCACCTCAGCCTGAAAATTAACTAAGCCTCCCCATCTTAAGAAAACACTTTCTCAACCTCGTCAATCTCTCAGTCTCCTAGTTCCTTGTCAGCATCAAAATACATAGTTTGAACACGCCCACATGTGAAGACAATTTCTCCTCATTCCCCAGGACTTCCATATCCAATCTGCTAGTCTTCTCCCCAGCTTCTCGTATTTTCTCCTCCCCTGGTTCACACATGCTCACATACAGTCTACTTCAGGGAAGGCAAACCCAAGTCCTTCAGGGGCCAAGGCAAGTTTTGTAATACCTGAAGCGAGTGCATGTAGCACTAGGGGACCCACTGAGAGTGTTGAGACTGTGCAGCTGTGTGGAGGCAGTAGCACTTAGCCAGTTGTTTCTTAATGGGAAACACAGGTCTCAGTCTCCTGTTTAACCCAAATTTGCATGTGAGCCAACAGACCTTCAGACTAGACTCTGTTTGCAGGCTGCTCACTTTTTCTGCTTAAGTTGCTGCCCCTGCTGGCAGTTCCATCCAAATTTCCTTGGAAATGAATGGCCCTCCGATCTCTTCTGCCTCTTGCTCAGAGGACTATAATTCAGAGAAGGCAGTTAGATTGGTGCTAGCACACAAGCAACTCAGCTGGCCAACTCTCCTTCAAAACCCCTCAGGTACACTTAGACCCAGGCTCAAAGATTCCATTCCAGCCCTATAAAGGAGTATATGGAAAGAAAAGGATAATTTTGGTTTTTGTTTTTTCCTTGTGTTTGTATTCTACTTTATTATTGATGATCTGAGATTACTTGACTTGGAGCATTTGTATTCTAACATTTGATTCTTAAAGGCATTATAAGATCCACAGAGACATATTTGGATAACTAAGTGGGGTGAGGAGAGCATATTCTAAATGGCCTCCTTCCCCTACCGAGCTGGAACTCACTGATATAGAGAACCTTCCTTGTGATCAACAAGTGTCCTAACTTCCAGATGTGTGAGAAACAGGGAAAAATGGCTCAGAACCACTGGTGTTAGGGATACTGACAGAGTGACTGACAGAAGAAAAACTAAACCACTTGCTTTTGTGTCAATTGTGACTCCGAAGACCCCATTTGTGCAGAGTAGAACTGCGCTTCATAGGGCTTTTTGAAAGTGCTTGACCTTTTGAATCACCCAGGAACTTGAAAGAGAATAGGAGTGTTTTTGAGCTGTGAGCCACTTGTTGCTAAGTGCCCTGTCTAGTTGGTTTCAACTCAGTGATCCTGTAAAGGGTTTCCAAGGCTGTAAATCTTTGTGGGAGTAGAAAGCCTCATTTTTCTCCCACAGAGCAATTAGTGGGCTCAAACCACCAACTTTGTGGTTCCCAAGTCCAGTGCTTATTGATAAGTACAGAGCTACCATGCTTCCATATCAGCCAGTAGATGCCTCTTTTTAATTTTTAAAAAGGTAACCCCTGCCTTCTGATAAAATTTCAAGCAATATAGACTGGAATGTAAAACAAGTCATCCTCTCACTGTTACCCGCTTGCTGTGTTATCTTCTAGGACAGTTTATATATTCAAGCATATATGCCTGTATATAATGCCCTGCCTCTTTACTTTTCCTTATTCATATGCTGGGGAGAAATTATTGAGGGAAATATATTAGAATAAATACAGTCCAAGTTGTTACTAAGTGCTGTTGAGTCTGTTCTGACTCATAGTGACCCTATAAAGGGTTTCCAAGGAGTCACTGGTGAATTTGAATCCTTGCAGTTCAAACCGACTTTGTGGTCCAATGCATTATCCCACAATGCCACACCAGGACTCCTGTAGTCCAGGTGGTGTTGTTAAGTGCCATCAAGTCAGTTCCAACCCATCACAACCCCATGTAGGATTTCTGAGGAGCAGCTGGTGAGCTTGAACACCGACCTTGCGGTTCAAACCAACCTTGCAGTCCAGTGGATTAACCCACAGTACCACCCCAGTAGTTACTGTCAGTAAAAAAAACTAGAGCAAATATCATTTCATCTAATAGTGAAATGTCAAAAGCTTCCTCTGAAATGATGAGTAAATAAAGATGCATAGGATCACCGTGTCTCTTGAATAGTATGCTGTAAATCCTGGACAGTACAATAAAGCATGAAAAACAATAGCAATTGTAATAGTGGGGTTGTTGTTAAGTGTGTTTGAGTCGGTTCTGACTAGCGACCCTGTATAAGGTTTCCAAGGAGCAGCTGATGAGTTTGAACAGCAAACCTTGTGATTCAAACCATCTGTGGTTAAGTGCTTATCCTACAACGCCAAACCGTCATTATTTGCAGATGTGTACATTACAAGGAGTTCTGGTAGCTTAGTGGTTATAAGTCGGGTTGCCAACCTCAAGGTCAGCAGTTCAACACTACCAGTGGTTCCGCAGGACAAAGATGAGGCGTTCTGCTCTCGTAAGGATTTACAGCCTCGGAAAGCTTGTGCAGGTTCACTGTAGGACGGAACCAACTCCACGGTACTTACCAACCCCAGCAGCACGTTACAAAATAAAATATACATAAAGTACTAAAATTAAGTACAAAAGGTGGGGATAGTGACAATCTAAACTTTCTTTCACTCTGCTCAAAATTAATTTAATTCTCAAATTTTTTTTGTCATTTACTTTGTAGATGTTGGTGCAGAAACTTTTTAACAAGTTTACTGTTGAAAGTCTCACGCCTTCGTCATTATCCTTGATGCATTCACCTGCAGACTCTCGAAATATAAGTGAGATCAATTTGAGTCCCATGGAAATCAGCACATTTCGTATCCGTTTGAGGTGAACCTGGCTTTTCACATTTGGATTGAGAAGCATTGGCTTTTCACGTACCTTCTTGGTTTGACGTGCAATAAAGAAGCACATTATTTTAGCTTCTGGCTACTGTGAGAACATGCTTTCTATGATTTTTGTTTTTTCACCCCAATTCAATAAGGAAAAAAAAAAAGCCATTATATAAACCAGTTTTGTTTTTTTTTTTAAGTTTCTTCCTTGACTACCACGACTACCACCATCAGTATACTTTGATGCAACAAATGAAGAAATGTCTAAAGACAACCTCTCAGCGGAATGTATCTCAGGTTAAAAGCTAACTAATTCTGTCTGTGTTGAGGGTTGTGAAGAGAGTCTTATAAGTATTCATGTTGCTGATCCTTTTGTTGATTTTATTTAATAAATATCTGTAGTACTGAAGGGGGAATAAAAGCTGGTGGTAATAGCTAATGGCCAAAATGGTTGCAGTCATTCATACAAATTGGAGAAATTGTTTATGTTGAAATAAGTGGAAAAGTGCAATCATCAACTCTTACGATACACATAGTTAATGTCTACACCTTTTGCTAATGTACCTCTTGACCCTCCCCTCCCCACCCTTTGTAACTAGTTCCAGAAATGTCAGATTTTGGCTCACTCAGCAGTAGAAAAAGAGGCATATTTTCGTTACTTGACAACGTGGGATAGGTGCAATTTATTCCATTGTCACTCAAATTGAAGAAGCAATTCCATAGGTACCGTAAACCTATTTTAGGTACCACAGGTGTCTTTTTTACACAGCTCATTTGAATACAGGTGTTCTAAGAGGGGGTTTTCTATTTTAAAATTACCATATCAAAATAAATGTGCCTTATTTTTTTATAAGTCTTGTTAAATCTTTTGGTGTCCATATTACTGTTCGGGGCTGGGCAGGCTGGGTGTGGGGAGGGGAGGGATGGATACTTTCTATGATACATAACTTGTATAATTTTTGCCTGACAATGCTGGTCACATTCTGATCTGTTTCATTAAATTTGCGCTGATGCTACTCTAAACATTTGACTATTTGAATGTACCAAGATTTCAGAAAACAAAACAAGGAAGAAAAATGTCATTAATTAAAATATGCTGCTGCCAAGGAAACTGCAACTTGATGCAAGGATTTTATAATATGTGAAATCCAGATAGTCTTTCCATTTCACTGTAGTGAACCCTATTGTAGCAAGAATGCTTTAGATAACCCCTGTGTTGAAACCTGCTAATATGTAGCTTATTGTGATTTATTTAAGAAAGTCGTTTGTTCAGCCAATTCCAAACTTTTGTGTGTGCTAAACTCTCAAGAATCCACGTGCCATTACAATACTTTTAATAAAATTCATTTTGAATCAGTGTTTCCTTAAGATTGAAACAAAAGCAACATTAGAAATGTTTAGAATGTTCACTTTTAGCCTGGGGATTATTCTCTGAATATGTATAGTTTTGAAAATTCTTTTTGTGTTCGCCAACACATTTAGTATTATTTGACTTAGAAGTCCATTTAAGAGAAATTAAAACCTAATTTCTGTTTGTTTCACCATGTAGTCTGATTGTCATCTGGATTTTCACTCAGTGCAGTTCCTAAGATGATTATTATGTTAAACTCATAAACTCCTTTCGCCTTTAATAATTAAGAAAACAATGCCACTGTTGATACAGATATGACGAGGGGGTAATTTCATGCAATAAACATGTATTGTAAGTTTCCTTATTAGTATTTTTGTGGATAAACAGCTAAAAGAAGAAAAATGCTTCCTTTCTGTGGACATCTACAGATGTAAAGATTGCCAGGAGCAAATCCAAGGAATAAGATCAGTATTTCCATTGCATCTTAAATACAAAACTTCCAATAGGAGTTCACTGTGTTCTCTGGTGGATAAGTGGGTATACATAATCATTTTGTAAATTCTAGTCAACTGAAATTAAAAAAAAAAAAAAAAAAAATCTTGATGCAATAACAGTGGTTTTTCCACTTCCGGTTGTTTGAGATGGATCTGTCCAATGTCATTTGAGGTGGATTATTCCATGTGTTGCCAGAGGTAAAGCAGAAAGTCTCTTTAACCAGCACATTTCTGCTTTTCCAAGTTATTTTTAGAATGTATCATCAGGGAAGTAAAGAGAGGATGCTTTAGCTTTGGGTTGTGGTCAAGAACAGACTAAATAATTTAGTGTCTCTGGCACACTCTAAAAACCATACACTTAGTTGCAATCTCTCTGGCATATTTATTTGCTTAAGTTTTATTACATGTGTTATCATGGATGTCAGTTCGCCTAGTAGTTCATTACCTTTTTTCGTGGGTTTTAAGTTTTTAATTTGCAGTTAAAACTATGGTGTTTGAGAACTCAGCATTATTTTCTACAAATACAGATTAAAATAAAACACTGTAAAATGTGTTGTAAAGCTTTGTAAAATATGTTAGAAAACATTGTACTTACCCTTCCATGTCTTTGTTGTACTTTTGCTGAAATGTTCCCGTGTTATTGTCTGGAACAGAATCGTCGCTTTCATTTTGATTATGTTGCTCACCTTGAAATCAACAGGTTTTGATATTTTCTCTTGGAAGATTTTATATCTTTTTGGGAATATGTAATATAAGATCTCTAATAAAAGATAATCTTATCATGTGTATGGCCCTCCAGAGTAATTCTTAATCGTGTTTTGTAAGCTGTGTATTAAAACACTTTGAGGAGTAGGTTAGGGTAGTGTTGCTACTGTTGTTATGTGCCATGGAGTCGGTTCTGACTCATAGCGACCCTGTACAGGGTTTCCGAGGCTGTAAATCTTTATGGGAGCAGAAAACCTCATCGTGGAACAGCTAGTAGTTTCGAACTGCTGATTGTGAGATTAGCAGCCCGATTCATAACCACTATGCTACCAGAGTGCCTAGGTTAGGGTAGTGAATGTTCGTAAATGAATGAATCATTTCTTCCTCAGCCCAATTCCATTGGAAAAGATGATTTTCTAGAGCAAGTGGAAGGGGTAGTCGGTGGATTTTACATCTAGGTTTGGGGGCACCTTTGAGGTTTAGTCTAGGAAGTTTCCCAACAGCTATGCTTATAATACCTGAGTCAGTTAGTATCCCTGGGTGGTGAAAATTGTTTGTGATTAGCTGATAACCTAAAAGTTGATGGTTCAAGCCCACCAAGTGGTATCAGAAGCAGATCTGGCAATCTGCTTCTGTAAAGATTATAGCTAACAAAACCCTATGGAACAGTAATCTGTAATACATAGGGTTCCTGTGCATCAGAATTGACTCAATGCCATGGACTAGGAATTTCTTTCTTTTTTGGAGCCAGTTAGGAGGTAGGCAGACCATAGTGAGATTCCATGTATGAGCTGGACAAAGATGAAAGAGTGAACCAAAACATGAAGTTAAGAACATGCACATGAGCTGATCCAGAAAATGAGAGAAGCCACAAGAATGGTATCTGTAGCAACTCCACAGTCCACTGACCCAGACTAGTGCAAAGCTTCAGTAACTTTAGTGGAGTTCCTCCCAAGCTGGACGGTGGGGAGATTGAAGGAAAAAATGTCCTGGGGGTGTTTATGGGTTACCCAGGTAAAATCTAGGTAGGAGGAAGTTTAGGCTTCCTAAATTAACCAGTATGTAGTGTATATGCATAACTAAAAATCTAAAGGGAATATTAATAAAGAAAACTTTTAAACAGGTAGACATATGTTCCCAGTGACTCCTGTAGACTCTTGTACATAGTGGATACTTGTGATAGAAAGCCAACTAGAGGTGATGGATTGGTGTAAAGGGCGGAACAAAGGGAAGTGAAGAGAAAATTAGCAAGTGCCAGGTTGTTGCCAGGTATCAAAGCAGAACACAAATGCCTAGAGACAGGTTTGTAAGACGCAAAACTCCATGCCAACTAACTTAACCAAAAGTAGGCAATTTATGGGCGCCAGCAACAAGTTCAAGGATGGAGAGCTCTTAAAACACAGCTGTGGCCAAGTGTAAGATGATGTGATTCATGAGCTGTTCTTACCTCTTGGTTTTGCTGTCTTCTGAGTTATCTTCTTATTTATTCTTTGTTGGCAAGAGAGCTCTCAACAGATCCAAACTTGAACCCAAACAACTTAGTGACTCTAATGGAATAGCATCTCTCTTCCCCTCCCCGCCCCCCAGCAAATGTCTTGGAATTTGATATCACTGACTCTCATCTGGTTCATGCTAATGATGGTGACTAGGGTTAGAGTTGGATTCAGCTGAATCACATCAGCAAACTGGCTGATGAGTAGTGCCCCTCCCCAAAGGAAAATTGAGATTCTATACCAGAGAAAAGGGAATTGGGTACTGGGCAGGCGAAATACAACAGAATTGCTTTATAGAGGAAAAGCACATGTAAAACTTACCTAGTTTTAGATTCTTGAAGGAGTCCATAAATGAGGTAAATTTGAGATCATCTGTAAAAAAAAATGAGTATAATTTTATCAGCGGGAGACAAGATGTCCTAGGTAAAAAGACAAAATATATGGGAAGGGTGGTTCCCGAAATTTAGAGAACTCGACATGATTTCTTTGGTATGTGCAGCACTGTGCAATGACAAACTTGCTGTAATATTGGAAATGCCTCCATGGACATACAGTGCCCATTATGGTAACCACTAAACACTAATGGCTCTTGAACTCTTGAAATGTGGTCAGTGTGCCTGAGAAACTGAATTTTTAATTTTAATTCATTTATATTTAAATAGCAACATGGAACTACTGTATTAGCACTCATCTGAAGTATATGGTTATGTTTAGGATTTGTAATTCAGTGCCATCGAGTTGGTTCCAACTCATAGTGGCCCTGCATAGGGTTTTCAAGGAGCATCTGGTGTCTTTGAACCACTGACCTTTCAGTTTAAACCATCCTTGTGGTCCAGTGCTTATCCAGCAGTGCCACACCAGGACTCTGTTACGTATAGGGTTGTTGTTATTGTTAAGTACCGTGGAGTCGGTTCCGACTCATAGTGACCCTGCACAGGGTTTCTGAGGCTATAAATCTTTATGGGAGCAAAAAGCCTCATCTTTCTCCCAAGGAACAGCTAGTAGTTTTGAACTGCTGACCGTGAGATGAGCAGCCTGATTCGTAACCACTACGCTACGAGAGCTCTAGAAGATTGAAACAACTGTTTACGCTTTCATTGCTTTTGTTT